CCTCACCTGTTATTGGACATTTTAGTCATGTGATTTTAATTACACGACATCACAGCTTGTGTTACTGTTAACAAGCTTGTTATAGGCCTACGTTCTTTTCACTAGAATTGTTGTTTGGTTCGGTTAAATAAATCATTTATGTCCATTTCTTGAATTTCTTGAAATAAGTGTCATGAATTGCATCACCTGTAGCCAGAGGTACCTGACCGGTCTCAACGCTGTGTGTGTCCATCAGGAAACACGCTGTTTACAAGTACACTGAACAAAAATATAAACGCAACACTTTTGTTTTTGCTCCCATATTTCACAAGATGAACTCAAAGATCTAAAACATTTTCTATAAACACAAAATAACCATTTCTCTCAAATATTGTTCACAAATCTGAAAGAATGTGTGATAGTGAGCACTTCTCCTTTGCCGAGATAATCCATCCCACCTCACAGGTGTGGCATATCAAGATGCTGATTAGACAGCATGATTATTGCACAGGTGTGCCTTAGGCTGGCCACAATAAAAGGCCACTCTGAAACGTGCATTTTTGCTTTATGGGGGGGGTCTGGGGGGGTCCCTCCTGAAGAAGATACATTGTATCGAAACGTCGAGGAGACTACTTCCACTCACCTCCACTGAACGGTACTCTGTTTTAAAATTTTGACCAGTGCTTTTAAATACAAGCTTTTTAAACCTCTTTTAAATTCGTGCTAATTAAAGTTTTGAGCTTTTAACTGTTGTGTTGGGCTCTGCCCCATATGGAAGCTGTACTCTACAAAACAGACACTTCCTCTCAACTGTTGGGACCTTACACATTCCCAAAATCACCGCCTGGAAATCCAAAAAGGAGACTCCTACAACCATCCTACTTGGACCTGCAATAAGAAAATTACAAAGACTTCCAACCACAACCACCCGGAACGTCTTCACCAGGCCCCACTACAAAACCTACCCAGGTAAGAGCCCACACGGTTTTAATGTTCAAATTCCAGAACCCAGTATGTGCAGTTGAGTGGACGTGGAGAGTATGCACAGCCAACACATACTGATATAAACCACTACACACATAGAACACACACTGATATTATTAACTACACACATAGACCATACACTGATATTAACAACTACACACATAGAACACCATACCAGCCACTGGAACCAGCCACCAGAAATCTGGCCAAACATTACTTCAAACTCATCCAGGCCACACATCATAAATACACCACAGACCAAGCCATAGCCACATACCTTCCCCCAGGTATGCTCAGACAAGTCACCATACTCTCTGCATTCATTAAACCATCTACCCCAACTGAGTACACACACACAACAGATACATGCCAACACCATAAACTGGATGCATACCAACATGATCATACTGCAACAACACTACAAAGAACACTACTAATACACCCACACACCCTCCCATTTAACCCTCTAAGCGTTCCAGATCGCCATAGGGTGGGCCAGAAAACGCTATGGGCCCCAGGCTGACCCAGAGAACGGTAACCACTATACAACAATTATTTGAACCCCTCCCCCTCTCACCTCCCCATCCTTCTCCGTATCCTAAGACCACCCCCACCCCACCCAGGGTATTTACCCCAACCTCATCCCCTACCCTGACCCCAAGACATTCTGCCCTCCTCAGGGCTCCTACTCTAACCTTGTCCTCAACCCCAAACCCCTCCAGGCCTCTCGGCAGCCATTGAGAGACCCTCCCCTTACCCCTTATCCTACAGCCTAAGGGACCCAGGTCTCCCAGCCCTAAACCTAAGGACCCCTCCCTTATTACTCCCACCCAGGAGTCTCCTCCCCTCCCCTTTCCACCCCTTCCCTCCCATCCCCTCCTCAGCCCACTAGAAAGATACACCTCTTTCCTAAAAATCCTCTTCCTGACCCCCCCTCTCACTCCCTGATCACTCCCATCCAGGAGCATCCACCCCTTCCCTCTCCTCCCTTCCCATCCCCTCCTCAGCCCACTAGCAAGATACAACCTCCTGTCCAAAAAGTTTCCTTCCTAACCACCCCTCTCCTCTGTGTCTCCCCCTACAGGCGATGCTGGTCTCTCCGGTCGGACTCGGCCGGTCAACGGGTCCCTTCAGACCACACCCAAAATCAGGGAGGGGTTCGTGATGAAAGGGACTAAGAGGGTCACATGTACCCATCCAATAACCCACTCTGATCCCTCCCGTGGTCCGTCTCCTGGGCTCCCGTTGCCCGGCCAGCCATCTCCGGAGCTCAGCTCGCCGCAAAAACATGTTTACTGTCTAAAATGACAATCCTCCCCAGGATCCCCTCAGCCTAACAGTCACAAGCACACAAGCTATCCCCTGGTTCCCCCTTTGGCTTCCCCCTACCAGGACCAGCTCACCCCTGGAGCCTGGTTCTGGCTCCAGCAATGGCATCATATTGGGAACCAGAGTCCTTGATTTCAGCTGACTTTTTGGAAAATCAGACCCCCCATGATCCCCTCTCAACATTCACATTTTCCAGAATTGGTCCAAACACCTTAAAACCTCATATTGAACCTATGTCGAATAACACTTGCATACACCCATCCACAGATCCTCAGGCCCGTGCACCCACTCTCAACCGAGAATCCAAAACCCTATCCCTAACCAAAACCTAACCCTAACCCTAACCCTACCCCTCACACCAGATACTGCCTGGTTTTCGAACCCCCCCAGACTCCCCCAATAAAGCAAAACTGCACGTTTCAGAGTGGCCTTTTATTGTGGCCAGCCTAAGGCACACCTGTTGCAATAATCATGCTGTCTAATCAGCATCTTGATATGCCACACCTGTGAGGTGGGATGGATTATCTCGGCAAAGGAGCAGTGCTCACTATCACAGACTTTTTCAGATTTGTGAACAATATTTGAGAGAAATGGTTATTTTGTGTATTTAGAAAATGTTTTAGATCTTTGAGTTCATCTCATGAAAAATGGGAGCAAAAACAAAAGTGTTGCGTTTATATTTTTGTTCAGTGTAGATCCAGGCTTCCAGCAAACATCCACTGATCAACTGCATGTTAACAACCTCATGATGACCTCATATGTTTTAACTGAGGATCAAACCTGTGTTTCGTCTAGAAAAAGGTAAATGTGTGCATTTTATTATAAAGTTGTGTATATTTACAGACTGTTGCAAAACCTAAGAAGCTTACATCAGGTTTAAAACTAAAAGAGCTTTACAAAAAAGTAGGCTAACACAATTAAAGATGTTTGGAGTTTTATTTTAGGTATTAATGTTAATGTTTGTCAAAGAGAAGCTGATTTGAAAACCCGTTGTTACATACAGTTACGGCACTTCCTGTTTCTGCCGGAGAGAGGGGAGGCCGTCCCAAAGCTTGCTGCCGTGTTTACTCCTCCATCTGACAGGAGGAGCCTCGTGTGTCACTCCACGGAGTTCACTCCGTCACGGCGGGGGAGTGTGTAGGGTGTAGGGCGTGGTTTGGGATTGGGCCATACACACGCACTTTTTTGCCCTCCCCACTTCTAAAATGAATCCGGCGCGCCTGCTGAACAGACTTGGGAATTGCCTGATGTGGGAATGACGAAAGGATCTGTGAGAATAGACATTCTATGAAATGTATATTAAGATTGTTACATCATTTCCAAATCCTTGGCTTGCGTTGATGGCTTAACATAGTTTGAACAAATTGCATGAATAAAAAGCTAAATCATAGTTAATATTCTGTCGATACAAAAACAATCTTGACACTTAGCTTTATCTTACCAAAATATTTGTTTTGAAAACATTAATATATTGTGTTTGGGACGCTTCAAGGCAAGGGGCTGCTAAAGGATTTAAAAGCAGTAATGGGGATATAGAGGATACAGACTATGGAAAAATGTTTTAAAACATGAACTCAACATTACATTAGAGTAATGCGAGGGGTGAGATCAAATATCAGATGTGTACACATCTACGGGATTAAGCCACAGTTTGATCTTGAACTAAAAAAAAGTCTATTAAATCACCTTCTCATCGCCTGCCTCACCCTGACATCATTGTGGGATTGGACGCTGTCTGACTGCTACGCTGACCGGTGCTGTGCTCACTTCTGGTGGCACAGCTCCCTGGCTATGAACTGAACTAAAGCCCGTGCTGCTGCCTCGACCCGAGGCGTCACACCCTGTCAAACAGTCATTTCATTTTCTCTCACATTCACTTCACTTCGACTTGGTAGCAGAAGCACCTAATAAGAACGGGAGATCGTTAGACCAACCAACTCGTTAGATCGTTAGACAGACAACGCTAGCTAATGTTAGCTTATGGAGCTCAGCTAACACAGTTAAGCTAACCAAAACAGTTCTATATCATTCTCGAATTAAACAACTAACAACTAAGCAAAACCAATCCTTCATCATTTAGGAGTATTTCATCATTTAAACACAACTTACACTTAGCGGGAGGCGCGCGACCACCAGACGCCATTTTACAGACGACCTCTGACCTGTCAGCTCCGGACAGTGCGAAATGCGTAAATGAAGCGCTACGTCACGAACGCAAGAAATCTACCCTTGTGGGGGCGCGCTCATGTGATTGGCTTAGACTGGAGGAGATATCTGATTGGCTATAGATAAAATAAATTACAAGTACGAACCGGCTGACCGTCAGGGGAGTCTCAAAAACCCCACACACGAATGCACAGCGATCCGTGCTCAGCGATCCGTGCGCAGCGATCCGTGCACAGAGATCCGTGCACAGCGATCCGTGCACAGCGATCCGTGCACAGCGATCCGTGCACAGCGAGCGGCTTGTGTTGCAGGTTCAGGGGATTTAACCGGAAAGCTAATATGTGAGGATCAAAAATACATCTGTATAACTTTTACCTGTGTTTGGATTTTATTTACATGTTTATGAAACGGAACACATTTGTGTGTGCTTTGAAAAACACAAGTGTGAATCCTTCTGTGTGCACGTGTGTGTTATGAGACTGTTCTGAGCCCAGAGAGGGGGGTAAAGGGTAAAGGGAGTAAAGGGGGAGTCAGTTCAGTCTCACAGTCTCAGATCTCTGGACTCCGTCAGACGGTGAGTAACGTCTCTGTTATGCTCTGTGTACTTATACTCACTGTTATATACACTCTGTGTACTTATACTCACTGTTATATACACTCTGTGTACTTATACTCACTGTTATATACACTCTGTGTACTTATATTCACTGTTATATACACTCTGTGTACTTATACTCACTGATACACTCTGGGTGTTTCTCAATGTGGAGGACGCTTGCTTGGTAGCACATGTCTTCCGAGCGTCTTGCTTCAGAAGCGAGGCAAGAGTCCTTCCAGAGTGGAACAGGCGACTAGTCTACTAACTAGGTCTACTAACCCGTCATCCAAGGGTAGTTTTCACTATAAGTAAAAAATTAATTTCGGACGGACACTATAATTTACAGTTAATGTTCAATCTGAATTTTCTTTAAAATAAAAAACATCTATATTGATTCTGACTCTTCTGCATCCAACTCACAGGTTTATCATTACTTTGAGAACAAAGATTATTAATTTAACCCTTTAAGAAGATATGGGCATTTGTTCTGGGAAAGTCATTTTGGAGCCTGAGACCTGAAAAACAGGCTCGGGGCTTAACAGGTTGGGACAACATGGGGGGGGGGGGGGGCAGTACACAGTATAGTTACTGGCCGTTTCTCAATGTCGAGCATACCTGCTGCAGAGCCACTACTAGGTGTACTTATACTCACTGTTATATATACTCTGTGTACTTATACTTAATGTTATATATTCTGTATACTTACAGTCACTGTTATATATACTCTGTATACTTACTGCTGTTGTATATACTTACTGTTGTTGTATATATGATAAGTATAGTTATTGTTGTATACATACTCAGTATACTGTACGTATTGTTGTATGTGTACTCAGTATACTTGTTGTATATGTTACGATCACTGTTTAGATAGCGGAAAAAGGTAGGATCCAAAATGCAGACTACAAAAAGATCTATAAACAAAAGCGAGCTTTATTTAAAAAAAAAAAGCCGATCAACAAAAAACATGGCAAGGATAATCCATAGGTCACACGAGGAAGATAACATACCCAAAAAACGATCATGACCAACATGAAGGGAGGACAAACAAAGAATGAACCGACACCGAACACAGGAAGAGACTAAATACCGGGAGGCGTAATCACGAGACGAGACACAGCCGGGCAGGGGAGGAGAAACACAAGGGCAACAGGTGAACACAATCAGACAATCAGACACACCAGGGAAACTAACGACAGGGAGGAAGACACAGGGGCCGTGTCTTAATTCAGGGGCTGCACCCTTCGGAGTGCGCAGCCTACGTGGTCCACGGAGGACCCAGCCCACGTAGACCGGGTAGGCTGGACCGAGCGGCCTACAAAATGAGACGGTCTAGCCTACGGAGCGCTTCGTATTGACGTCACGTGATACGCGCTGTCCGGTTGCGCTGCTCCAGCAGCCTGCTAGCTAACTAGCTTACAAGGATCCAGAAACTTTACTTTTTAAATGTTTTGGAGATCACCGTCGGAGATGAAATAAAGAGGACCATGGCCAGGTAAATACGATGAAGCTGTTCCTTTAGCCCCCAGTAATGTTACATTAGTAAGTTAACAAATAAATTATATATAGCTGATGCAAATTAATCATATTATTTCATATTTAAAATAAGTCTTAATTTTTCTGTACTAATAAAACAATGTTTTTTTAAATGAACAAAAGCACGTTGTATAGATTGATTGTTAACAATATTAGTGTTCTAATCTTAATAGCTGTGATTATAACAGTTTATATTCTCCTTCTTCCCCTAACCCTGCCCAGATGAGTCCCACTGACCCCAGGTCAGCACCTCCAGGTCCAGCAGCACCGTGCCCCCCCCCCCCCCCCGCTCTGCTGAAATACACTATTAAACCTTTTCTATGACCTATTTCTTGTATTAATAAAATGAAAGTGAAGACAGTTGAATGACCTAGAGATGTCCTATTATTCCACTGCTTATGTACACATGTTGGAAATAATGGTTACAACCTCAGTAAGTGAAATAATGTGTTTAACAATTACAATTTAATATTGTATTTTCATCTAATCACAAAGTAGAGGTAAGAATATATCCATCCTCTCTCTGCAGCTTCATGTCTTCTCTTATTATAACGTTCATCATTGAGACAGAGGATATCAGTCATGTACTTTAACATCACCGGCAGTAACACACATACCAGCAGAAGTGTGTTTATGGAGTTGTTTATTTGTATTGTATGTGCAGCAAGTATAGAAGCAGCTGTTCAGAATCAGACAGACTCAAGCTATAATCCTTATCTATTAAAAGAAAGGACACAGACAAAACCATATTCTGAAAGTAAGACACGAGTCTGTAGGACGGCAGCAAGCAGAGGTCTGGGTGGAGGATGCTCCTGATCGCCGCTTTGCTTTCTCCAGCACCTCGGGGGGTCCAGGGTGGATGCAGCTCTGTCCTGATGATCCTCTGGGGTTAGGGGTCCTTCTCCAGCACCTCGGGGGGTCCAGGTGGATGCAGCTCTGTCCTGATGATCCTCTGGGGTAGGGGTCCTTCTCCAGCACCTCGGGGGTCCAGGTGGATGCAGCTCTGTCCTGATGATCCTCTGGGGTTAGGGGTCCTTCTCCAGCACCTCGGGGGGTCCAGGTGGATGCAGCTCTGTCCTGATGATCCTCTGAGGTTAGGGGTCCTTCTCCAGCACCTCGGGGGGTCCAGGTGGATGCAGCTCTGTCCCTGATGATCCTCTGGGGTTAGGGGTCCTTCTCCAGCACCCTGGGGGTCCAGGTGGATTCAGCTCTGTCCTGATGATCCTCTGGGGTTAGGGTCCTTCTCCAGCACCCTGGGGGTCCAGGTGGATTCAGCTCTGTCCTGATGATCCTCTGGGGTTAGGGAGTCCTTCTCCAGCACCTCGGGGGGTCCAGGTGGATTCAGCTCTGTCCTGATGATCCTCTGGGGTTAGGGGTCCTTCTCCAGCACCTCGGGGGGTCCAGGTGGATTCAGCTCTGTCCTGATGATCCTCTGGGGTTAGGGGTCCTTCTCCAGCACCTCGGGGGGTCCAGGTGGATGCAGCTCTGTCCTGATGATCCTCTGGGGTTAGGGGTCCTTCTCCAGCACCTCGGGGGGTCCAGGTGGATTCAGCTCTGTCCTGATGATCCTCTGGGGTTAGGGAGTCCTTCTCCAGCACCTCGGGGGGTCCAGGTGGATTCAGCTCTGTCCTGATGATCCTCTGGGGTTAGGAGTCCTTCTCCAGCACCTCGGGAGGTCCAGGTGGATTCAGCTCTGTCCTGATGATCCTCTGGGGTTAGGGGTCTTCTCCAGCACCTCGGGAGGTCCAGGTGGATTCAGCTCTGTCCTGATGATCCTCTGGGGTTAGGGGGTCCTTCTCCAGCACCTCGGGAGGTCCAGGTGGATGCAGCTCTGTCCTGATGATCCTCTGGGGTTAGGGGTCCTTCTCCAGCACCTCGGGGGGGTCCAGGTGGATGCAGCTCTGTCCTGATGATCCTCTGGGGTTAGGGTCCTTCTCCAGCACCATCGGGGGGTCCAGGTGGATTCAGCTCTGTCCTGATGATCCTCTGGGGTTAGGAGTCCTTCTCGAGCACCTCGGGGGGTTCCAGGTGGATGCAGCTCTGTCCTGATGATCCTCTGGGGTTAGGGAGTCCTTCTCCAGCACCTCGGGGGTCCAGGTGGATGCAGCTCTGTCCTGATGATCCTCTGGGGTTAGGAGTCCTTCTCCAGCACCCTCGGGGGGTCCAGGTGGATGCGCTCTGTCCTGATGATCCTCTGGGGTTAGGGGTCCTTCTCCAGCACCTCGGGGGGTCCAGGTGGATGCAGCTCTGTCCTGATGATCCTCTGAGGTTAGGGGTCCTTCTCCAGCACCTCGGGGGGTCCAGGTGGATGCAGCTCTGTCCTGATGATCCTCTGGGGTTAGGGGTCCTTCTCCAGCACCTCGGGGGGTCCAGGTGGATGCAGCTCTGTCCTGATGATCCTCTGGGGTTAGGGGTCCTTCTCCAGCACCTCGGGGGTCCAGGTGGATGCAGCTCTGTCCTGATGATCCTCTGGGTTTAGGGGTCCTTCTCCAGCACCTTGGGGGTCCAGGTGGATGCAGCTCTGTCCTGATGATCCTCTGGGGTTAGGGGTACCTTCTCCAGCACCATCGGGTGGTCCAGGTGGATGCAAGGCTTCTGTCCTGATGATTCCTCTGGGGTTAGGGGTCCTTCTCCAGCAACCTCGGGGGTCCAGGTGGATGCAGCTTTTTTAATCTGTCCACTGATGATCCTCTCCTGGGGTTAGGGTCCTTCTCCAGCACCCTCGGGAGGTCCAGGTGGATGCAGGCTATGTCCTGATGATCCTCTGGGGTTAGAGGGTCCTTCTCCAGCAGCGCTCGGGGGGGTCCAGGTGGGAATGCAGCTTCTGTCCTGATGATCCTCTGGGTTTAGGGTCCTTCTCCAGCACCTCGGGGGGTCAGGTTTGGGAAAAAAAAAAATGTCAGCTCTGTCCTGATGATCCGCTGGGGTTAGGGGTCCTTCTCCAGCACCTCGGGGGTCCAGGTGGATGCAGCTCTGTCCTGATGATCCTCTGGGGTTAGGGGTCCTTCTCCAGCCACCTCGGGGGGGTCCAGGTGGATGCAGCTCTGTCCTGATGATCCTCTGGGGTTAGGGGTCCTTCTCCAGCACCTCGGGGGGTCCAGGTGGATGCAGCTCTGTCCTGATGATCCTCTGGGGTTAGGGGTCCTTCTCCAGCACCTCGGGGGTCCAGGTGGATGCAGCTCTGTCCTGATGATCCTCTGGGGTTAGAGGTCCTTCTCCAGCACCTCGGGGGGTCAGGTGGATGCAGCTCTGTCCTGATGATCCTCTGGGGTTAGGGGGTCCTTCTCCAGCACCTCGGGGGGTCCAGTGGATGCAGCTCTGTCCTGATGATCCTCTGGGGTTAGGGGTCCTTCTCCAGCACCTCGGGGGGTCCAGGTGGATTCAGCTCTGTCCTGATGATCCTCTGGGGTTAGGGGTCCTTCTCCAGCACCTCGGGGGGT